TCAAGCATTATTTTTATCTGGGATGTAATTAATACTCATGCATATGGCGTGTACATTGCAGTTGAGCAAGCACTACATGGATGTCTGTAAATCAACTTTAATTCCAGCTATTGGTATTATGGAACTGTCAAGTATGTGCAGGGTGCTTGCTGACCAGGTAAAGTCTTTAAAAGACAGAAATGTCGTAATTTTCTCAGATTGACAAAAAATGGAAAGGAACTAGAAACTTAGGGGCAAATTTATGTGCAGGGGCTGCTAAAGATAGGACAATCTCGAGACACTAAATTGAGAAGAGTGACTTTGATGGTTGATGAAGCAGACATCACTTTTGCATTGCAGGTAATCATTTTTTTTGTGTATTTATATATGTTTGGAGGCTGGGCTTGCTCAACAGTTTTACTTGAACAGGGAATTCGATTTTTTCGCAATTGTCTTCAATGACCACGGAATTGTTAAGGCGAAATTTGGACGGGATCTTATACTGCTGCTACTCTTGTTTGCTTCGCATTCAAATGAATGAGTTGCTAATGAAGGAATATAGGCTAGGTGCATAGATCGAGTATAAAGGATTTGACTAAATTTATTTACTCCGTATTATATGTTGTTGCCATACTTTTATAGAAAACCCTCAAATAGTCAAGAAAGCCCTCAAATAGTCAAGAAAGCCCTTGGCATAGATTAGTTTCATTGAGCATTTGCTTATGATTATGAATGGATAAATTACGAACACTTTTGTTGTAATACTATCATTATTTGTACTCAAGTCTCAATATAAAAAGTATAAAGTTACTTTTGTTTATCAGCTTATGTAAGTTACTAGATCAATTGCTTTAAGTTATTCAGTATTACTACGTATAATAACAATAACCCTCGGTAAATAACAAAAGGGAATTGTGCTTGAGGATAAACAAAGAAGAATCTACATCTTTGAAAAACCAAATGTCAATCCTATCACTTGTTGGGATCCTATCATCTATGGAAACTTTTTCCCCAGCCATCTTCTTTGGTTATCCCATATGCAAACCAGACTATCGGAGCATCAGTTGTCTTTTCTTTAACGTGCTCAGCAAATCAGCAATACATGATGCACAACAGAAACGAAAAATGAGTGGGAGATGCAGCTACTTGTACTACCCTCACTCGCTCAAATATTCAGTTCTGGAAGATAGAAGATTTGATTACTCCTCTTCCACTTCTATCTAGTGATTTCCTCAGTGATTACTCTCCTCCCACCTACTCAATCGATGAGTTCAATAGAATTGCAGCCGCCGGCATTGTTAAATGTTAAGCTCTCACTAGGGGTTTTTACTATCTTTATACTTTATTTATAATCTACAATCTAAAATAGACTAATTTGAAATGAGAAAATGGTCAAGATGGTACATGAAATTGTATGGACGGGAGTAAGTAATACTTCATCTTGCATTTGAAATTTTAAACTACATGAACTTGTATTTTTAGAGTCAATCAAGTATATTTGCTCTATTAGAATGTTAAAATAGTTGATCTGACCAAACTATCCGTTTGTAATATACAATTACAGTCCAAGTCATCAAATATTTAATCTATAAATTCCATTTTTCTCCAGTCCACTCGTTTTCATCTTCGCTCTTTAGTCTTCATCTTATATTTTTCTTGTTTGCTCTCCTTTCTATCCACGCTATTTTATTTTCTTGTTCTCTTGCTATAATAAAGATGGACTGATGACAAATAAAAGAAGAAGCGGGTGGGATAGCACGGAGAGAAGATGAAAGAGAAGGATAGCAACATAGGTAGAGTTAGAGGGGGCCAATCTAGACCCTGGCCTACCTCAAATTTAAAAAATGCTTTAATTTTAAAGTAAAAACTTTGTGTAATTTTTTCCCATAAAATATTCTTTGTGCTGCTCCAGTCCGGCCCAGTGCGGCTCTGCCCTTGGAGAGCAGACGAGAGAAATATAAGATGAAGAACAAGAGAAGGCAAAGCAAATGTGAAAAATATAAAATGAAAAGCAAAGATGGAAACGAGTGAACTGAAGAATATTAAAGTTTATAGATTAATTATTTGACGACTTGGACTGCAACTGTATAATACAAACAGATAGTTTGATCATGTCAGCTATTTTAGCGTTCTGATAGACAAATGTAGTTGATTGACTATACAAATACAAGTCCTAAATTTCAAATTCAAGATAAAGTTCTACTTACTCTCGTCGATACAACTTGATGTACCATTTTCTCAATTTGAAATGGCTAAATTTACTTAACTTTGAAAAAATACATATAAAATACTCCGTACGTTTTATTTTATTTAAAATTTGAAGAAAAGGAACAAATGTTTGATTGTATCGCTACACTTTTCAATAAATCGTTTTATTGTTCACTTTCTAAGTTTTACATTGACATTTTTCTCTTGGGGTAAGGTCAAGAATAATACTCCCTCCGTCCCAATATAAAAGGCACACTTTCCTTTTCGGTCCGTCCCAATATAAAAGGCACATTTCCCTTTTTAGCAAACAAAACAGTGCAAAACAGTGTCAAACAGTGCCAAACAGTGTCCAAACAGTGCCAAACAGTGTCTAAACAGTGTTCACCCTTAAAATGACTAGAAACGCAAATGTGCCTTTTATATTGGGACGGAGGGAGTACTAATTAAGATGATTTGGACAAATATAGGACTTGTTCCAATAAATTCCAAAGTACAGACCTTCCGCTAACATTTTTTAAAACATTGGGAAGGAAATACCAAATATACCCTTACGAGTATCCATGCACAACAAACTAAAACCGTAGTCCTGGGGATTAGTCCTCATTTCCTACTCCTCATATCCAGTTCGGTGTTCGAATAATTACAATTATTGATCGATCAATTACAGTTACTCAATCCGATCAATTGCAGTTACATTATTCGATCAATTACAGTTACTCAACTCGTAGCTCAAACAATTACAATTACCCGATCCAACCGATTAGAGTTACACGATTCGATCAATTACAGTTACACGATCCAACCAATTACAGTTACTCGATTCAATAAATTACAACTATCTGAATCAAGCAATTACATTTACCCGATCTGACCAATTGCAAATACTCATGTGAAAAATTATAGTTACCGGATCCGAACATTGCAATTACCCGACCCAAGCAATTATCATTACCCAGCGGGTTGCAATTACTTGATTTGATTGACCAGTTACCCGTCCCACTTATAGTTACCGCCCGATGAGTTGAGGTTACCCAGTTGACCACTACTACCACCACCTCCGGCCACCACTGCTATCGCTGCCGCCGGCCGCCGCCGACGGTGACCTGCCTGCCTAGCCTCCCCAACCCTGCCCCTTCCCTTCCGTTTGCTTATCCCCGCCAAAACCCCTCCCAAGCCACTGCCCAATTTCTCCCACAACCCCCACCCCGCCGCCTGCTCCAATCCCTGTAGAAAAAAAAAATGGACCCCTGATTTCGTTGGATCTCCACAACTTGATATCAGATCCGTGACAAATTCACCATCGTCAGATCCACGAAACTCGTAGCGGTCATGCGTGAGAAGAAAGGAGAAGAAGAGAGAAGTTATAGCGACGCCGGCGGTGCGGAAAGGAGACGAAAACGACCATATCGGAGCAGATGAACAGCTGCGGCGACATCTGAGCAGTGGCGGTGGCGACTTCTGTGTGGTGGAAGCGGTGACTGAGCGTGGCAGGAAGGCACTGCCGAAGGCGACGAGATGGAGCGGTGGCGCTCCTAGTTGTCCGTTCGGGAGTAGAAAGAGTTGAAGGCTTGAAGCCTGGTGCATTGTGCGAAGGCGACGAGATGGAGCGGAAGAAGAAAAGGGTAGGGTTATTACAGACCTTTCATTTTTAATTAATCGGTTTTTTGTCCTATTTGAAAATAGGTCCTACAATTGTCCACCTAAAAGTTCCACGTGTTACTCATGTCATTATTTCTTTTCTCTTTAATGCATTTTTAAAAATTTCATGAAAATTTTATAATTTTAATTTATTTTATTTTCAATAGATAATTGGTTGTTCGGATATTGTACGAACAACATCAGGCCAACCCAGCATCACGTATCGGACCCAAGATAGTTTGATGACGCACATAAAGACCTAACCTGGACATCATGTGATGTACCAATCCAGATCACAATCGAGTCAAGTCATGGATTACAGTGTAGACACCTATGCCCAGAAACACCATGCAGCACCAAAAATCGGGTCAAGCCAAGGTATACCACATACCAACTACCGGTCCTCCGATTTAGCCGCCGGCCGATCTTTTGTCCAGGATGGCCAAGCCCCACATTTAGAAAGGCAAGGGAGGATGGTCTATACCATTACTTTTGACAAATCAAGAATTGGAGGGGAAAATATTCAATACTTGAATTATGTCACGTATGGGAAGGAAATAGCTCGACAAATGAGGGGTGACATATCTCCAATCCTAACTATCGCGCCTTACTATAAATAGCCCCTCTTAATTCAGAAGAGGGTTTAGCACTCCAACATTTAATAGCATTAATAACTCTCATTGGAAAACATCACTTTAACAGTTGGTTAGAGCAAAATACATAGAATTAGAACTGTTCTCGAGTGTATTGCAAGAGTTCATACTTAATAGGAACCAAATAAATCTCATTCTTCTTCATTTTTCGTTCATTTCGTACACTTGAATCGAAATTTAATGCACCAAACCTCATTCTGATGTAGAAATTTAGCGCATTAACAACCCGTTTGGTAACACGAAAATCAACTGCTTTGACTAATTCTGCTGAAATTTATGAATTTCTAGCTGAACTGATTGCATTGGTTGATTCTACTGATATAAGAAAAAATATTTTTAAAATATATTTTATTAATGAAATAAAGAAAAAATTATATGTAAAATAGCTAAAATGGTTATCTACAGTAACTTCAGCCAATACAGCAAAAAAAGTAACTCCAACCTTACTTTTTCTGCTTATTACACAATTCAGCACACGAAAACAAAAATTACGTGTTTGCTGAAAAATTGACTTATAAGCCTGATAAGTTGAAAAACAATGTTAGCAAACGGCCTCTAAGCATTAGCACATGCTTAATTGTAACATAGAAGGTTTGACACATTTTTGAAATCACTATATAAAAACCCACTATCAACCTAAATGCTAATTACAACAAGCTGAGCAAATTAGTTAAGTAACAAATATATTAAAATTAGTAACGTAAATTAGTAAAATCAACCCTTGCCATTCTTTACCTCCGAAATCCTCAAATCAAACAAGCACTTAAGCACAGTAGTGAGAGTAAGTATTTCATATGGTTTTCCTTGCATTCACTATGAGTTTCACAATTCCTATAATTATTTTATGAAATATAATGCCAGGAAACTTGGCAAATGGCAATCTGTCCTTCTAGAATTTACACTCCGTTTTGCTCTACTATATACTCCGTATGTTCTAGCCTTTATTTTATGTGACCCACAAAATCTACCTTCAGCTCTTAACTCCCCAAATTGGGCTGACCATTATGGGAATCAGCCCTGGTGGAGCTGTCTCATGATACAAGTTGATGTGGTTTCACGAATAAAATACAACACATACGCCTCCATGGGTAGCTCAGTTGGCCGAGCGGTGGGAAGTTGGAGGAACAAATACAATACATATACAGAGCCTATCCGATTACTATGGCACAACACACGATATTTGATGACGTCTAAGGAATGAATTACAGTCATGACTCATATCGTTTGATGTGCACTCTGTTACATTACGTGGAAGCCGAGCTGGATTATGAAGTCGAAGTGGACCTAATGGTGAGCTGGCAGAGGAATAACGCCTTAGCGGTTGTTAGTGTCACCGTTAGTTTGTTAGATTAGTTCAGCTCATGTATATAGCTTGCCCATTGTATATGCGAACAGTTATGTTGAATAATATCCATCTTCTTCTTCCCTAAAATCCTCTCCTGCTATTCGAATTCATCTTTCTTTGAGTTCCTAATTTCTTGGCTTTCTCGGTGCTTCACCCTGGAACCATAACAGTTGGTATCAGAGCTTCATCCTGGCACTCGAATTCCGCCATTGTTACCACTGACTTGAGACATCGACTCCATCCTGGCGAAGAAACAGACAGTAGCAACTCTATCTGCTATTATGGAAGACAGACTGGCAGAATTAGAGCATCGGATGGAAGAGCAAGCTAGAAGAACTGAATTAAAGGCTATTGAAACTTCTGAAAAACTGGATGCCTTAATGCTTCTTCTTCAGAAAAAACAGGATGACGAAGGAAATAGCTCCCATCACTCGATACATTCTCATGAAAGAAGTCATCAATTTCAGGGAGGTAACCCTAATCGGAATTTAGGCTTTGTTCCTAAGATTGAGTTTCCTTCCTTTGCTGGTAATAATCCTAGAAACTGGATTCAAAAGTGTGTTAAATACTTTCAGTTGTGTAAGATTGAACATCATCAGAAGGTTGATTTAGCTTCACTTTACATGGTAAATAGTGCTGAATCTTGGTATACTAGCTACATCTCTGTGAATCCAGGAGTTAATTGGGAACAGTTTGTAATTGATGTCTGTGAAAGATTCAACGAAGAGATAGGTAGTACGGTTGTTGAGGAGTTTAACAAACTGCAACAGACTACTTCTCTGGATGAGTACTTGAATCAATTTGAAAATCTGCGCAGTTTAATGCTTCAAAGGAACAACAGGCTTCCCGATGAATATTTTTTGGACAGTTTTATTGGTGGTTTGAGCCCCACCATCAAGCATTTTGTTAAGGCATTTAAACCTAGAACTTTGACTAGTGCTATGGAATATGCCAGACTACAAGAGCAGAGTTTAAATGCCCTAAAGAAAAGTAGCAGAACAGGTCTGGACACTTGGTCTCACAAACCTAGAGATACTATGGGAAATTCTGGGTTTAGAGTGCCTCAACCTGTAAATAAATTGGGGGGACTTCTCCCCACGCCCTCAACCAGTGCTGCAAACAATAAAAAACCTTATGTAAGTGGAAGAAGAGTCCTACAACCTTTGGATATTGAGGAGAGAAGAAGGAAGAACCAATGCTTTCATTGTGATGACCCCTATTTTCCTGGTCATGTATGTAAAGCTCAACTTTACAAGATTCACATTACTCCTATGGAAGAGGAGTCTGGTGAAGAAGATTTTACTATGGAATCTTCATGTGCAGAAGAAATGGGAGAAGAGACCAGGAATAGAGAACATGTAATGATGGAAAACTCACCGGTGATATCTCTTAATGCTATTTCTGGACAACACCAATTCCAGACCATGAAGGTTACAGGAAAGGTTAAAAAATATGACCTTAATGTGTTGATAGATTCGGGTAGCACACATAATTTCCTGGACCTAAATACGGCTAAGAGATTGGGATGCAGAATAACCCAATCCTATCCCCTTGAAGTCTCAGTAGCTAATGGGGAGAAGTTGATCACTACACAACTCTGTAAGCACTTTACATGGACTTTACATAATACTGAGTTCAGGGCTGACACTATGCTGGTACCCTTAGGTGGATGTCACATGGTTTTGGGGGTTCAATGGTTAGCTTCTCTAGGTCCTATTAAATGGGATTTTGATAAGCTTGTTATGGAGTTCCAGTATATGGGAAAAAGAGTGGTATTAAGGGGAAGTAAAAAGGGTAGCATGTTGTGGATTAATGGAGAAGAATTGTGCCATGAAGTGCATAAAGAAAGTAAAAGATATGGGGGACAGTTATATCTTATGAAAGTGCAGGAACTGAACAGTGATTTTAAAGATATAACACCATCTTCTGAAGATTGCATGCCTAAGGAAATATCTGATGTGTTGACACAATTCCAAGATGTGTTTGAAGAACCTAAGCAACTGCCTCCCCATAGAGAATGGGATCATCAAATCCACCTCCTACCTGGTACTGCTCCTATTAATGTCAGACCTTATAGGTATCCAATTATACAAAAAACTGCCATTGAAGAGATTACAAAGGAGATGTTGGATACAGGTATCATCAGAAATAGTCAGAGTCCTTATTCCTCACCTGTGGTAATGATTAAAAAAAAAGATGGAAGTTGGAGATTTTGTGCAGACCATAGAGAGCTGAATAAACACACGGTGAAGGATAAGTTCCCCATTCCTGTGATAGATGAACTTCTGGACGAGCTGAAAGGATCTTGCATTTTTTCCAAAATAGACCTGAGGTCAGGCTATTGGCAGATCAGAATGAAGGAAGAGGACATTGAAAAAACAGCATTTAGAACTCACGAAGGGCATTATGAGTTCTTGGTCATGTCTTTTGGATTAACAAATGCTCCATCCACCTTTCAGAATCTTATGAACTCCATTTTTAAACCATATCTCAGGAAGTTTATACTGGTGTTTTTTGATGACATCCTTATATACAGCCCAGGGGTTAGCTCACATGCACTTCATTTGCAGCAGACCCTCAACATTTTGAAGGATAACACCCTCTTTGCTAAACGTAGTAAATGTTCTTTTGGAGTATCTACAATTGAATACCTTGGGCATATCATTTCAAAGAGTGGTGTAGCTACTGACCCCAAGAAGATTCAAGCAATTCAGAATTGGCCTTATCCCAAAAACTTGAAGGCGTTGAGGGGATTTCTTGGATTGACAGGTTATTACAGGAAATTCATACAAGGGTATGGTCTGCTATCTAAACCTTTAACGAATTTGCTTAAAAAGAATGCTTTTTCATGGGGTGTGGAGGCTGAGATGGCATTTAACAAACTTAAACAGGCCATGTGCAAGGCACCAGTTCTGGCTTTACCTGATTTTGAAAAGCCTTTCACGGTAGAAACAGATGCTTCTGACCTTGGTATTGGGGCAGTCTTGTCTCAAGATGGACATCCTATTGCTTATCTAAGCAAGGCCTTATCTGAGAAGAACAGGTCACTTTCTACTTATGAAAAAGAACTTTTGGCAGTTGTCCTTGCTGTGGAAAAATGGAAGGCGTACTTAGCTGGAAGCCACTTCATTATTAAGACTGATCACTTTAGCCTGAAATACTTATTGGATCAAAAAATTACAACCCCATTTCAGAGCAAATGCTTACCTAAACTTTTAGGTATGGATTATGAAGTGTGTTACAGAAAAGGAAAAGAAAATATGGCAGCAGATTCCTTATCCAGAATTGATGGTGGAACAATCATGAGTTTGATTGTAAGTGAGATCCAATCTGACTTATTGCAGAAGATTAAAGAAAGTTGGGAAAACATGGAAAGTCAGCAACTGATTCAATCTTTACAAAATGGATCTTTAACTCAAAGTAAATTTTCATGGCAGGATGGGAAGTTGATGAGAAAAGGAAGATTGGTGGTGGGACACAAGGAGGAATTGAGGAAAGAAATTATTCAGCTCATGCATACCTCACCTTTAGGGGGACATTCTGGAACTCAGGCTACTTATAAAAGAATGGAGGCCCTATTTTATTGGAAGAAAATGAAGAAGGACATCAGGGTGGCTATTAGAGAATGTGATGTATGTCAGAAATGCAAACCTATCCTTCAAGCTCCAGCAGGATTGCTTCAACCTTTACCTATTCCTGAGGCTATTTGGATCAATATCTCTATGGACTTCATAGAAGGGTTGCCTAAGTCTTGTGGTAAAGATACTATCTTAGTGGTGGTGGATAGATTGAGTAAGTATGCTCATTTCCTACTACTTACTCACCCTTATACAGCTTCCATGGTGGCCAGAGCTTACTTTGATAATATCTTTAAATTGCATGGTCTCCCTAAGACTATTGTAAGTGACAGGGATAAGATTTTCGTAAGCAGATTTTGGCAAGAGTTATTCAAACTCTTACAGGTGGAGCTGCATATGTCCACTGCATACCATCCGCAGTCTGATGGGCAGACTGAAGCAGTCAACAAATGCTTGGAGACTTACTTAAGGTGCATGACTGGGGAAAAACCTAAAGAGTGGGCTAATTGGATACCTTTGGCAGAATGGTGGTACAACACTAATTACCATTCTTCAAGTCATAATACCCCTTATGAAGTGGTTTATGGGCAGCCTCCTACACTCCACATACCCTATGTTACTGGAGACTCTACAGTTGAGGCAGTTGATAGGAGTTTACGGGCAAGAGAGGAATGTATTAATTTGTTGAAATTCCATATCAAAAGGGCCCAAGACAGAATGAAGAACTTGGCTGACAAGCATAGAAGTGACAGGGAGTTTGCAGTTGGAGAGTGGGTATATGTTAAGCTTCAACCTTACAGACAGCAGTCTGTGAGTTATAGAACCAATATGAAGTTGTCCCCAAGATATTTCGGCCCTTTCACAATTGTTGATAGAGTGGGATCAGTGGCGTACAGATTGCAGTTACCTGACCATGCTAAAGTGCATCCCGTGTTCCATATATCCCAGCTTAAAAAACATCATGGTCCTATTCCTATTAACAGCTCCTTGCCTAACATAGATGATAATGGACAATTGAGAAGGGAACCTGTGGCTATATTGGATAGAAAGATAGCCAAAAGAAGGAATGCTGCCGCTGTTTATTGGCTTATACAATGGTCAAATGCTGAGAAGGAAGATGCAACTTGGGAATTGCATGAAGATTTTATTAAAAGGTTTCCTGAGTTTGCAGCAACAATAAATACAGCTTGAGGACAAGCTGTGTTTGAGGAGGAAGCATTGTTACATTACGTGGAAGCCGAGCTGGATTATGAAGTCGAAGTGGACCTAATGGTGAGCTGGCAGAGGAATAACGCCTTAGCGGTTGTTAGTGTCACCGTTAGTTTGTTAGATTAGTTCAGCTCATGTATATAGCTTGCCCATTGTATATGCGAACAGTTATGTTGAATAATATCCATCTTCTTCTTCCCTAAAATCCTCTCCTGCTATTCGAATTCATCTTTCTTTGAGTTCCTAATTTCTTGGCTTTCTCGGTGCTTCACCCTGGAACCATAACACACTCTTCAAACCTGTTTTCCTTTTTCCTTGATAAGATGAGTGGCTCCTCAGGTTATTGTTGTTCATGTATATTCAACTACAGCACCAGTGTGATTAAATCCACATGATATTTGCAATGCTCTAACGCCAATCTGAAAGTTAACCAGTGCAGGCTCAATGTAGTCAATGTCGTTTCCTTGCCCCTGCACAAGAAAACACCTCAATCCAATGCTGAAGACACACACACACACACTAAAAGCAATAGAAAAAACATGGTGTGGGTGTGGGGGTGAAGGGATGTATTGGAAGGGCCTTATCATTATTTTCAGTAAATATATTTGTACATAAAGCCAAAAAATGTCCAAGATCAGCAGGACCAATTACAAAAAACATCCAATGTTACATATATTCAAAGTAGTGTTTGACAACCGTAACTGTCGAATATCTTTAGAATAGGTCAATTAGTTACACGTTGTTACTATAGATTAGGTTAAGTTGTAATTAATTATTGTAAATCTTATCCCTTCTTTGTAGGATCGGTTGTTGTATTGTACTATAAATATACTACTCAATGAAAGAAGAGTTTACATCGGCTAATCATTTTAATCTTTATGGTATCAGAGCCGCTAACCTAAAAAGAAAAAAAAATGGCCGATCCCCAGACCACCTCTGAACACTCGATTTCAACGAGTGATTCCTCTCACTTGATCGGATCATCTTCCTTCTCCAATTCTGAGCCTATTCAAGGCTTGTCGATAACTTCCCATAAACTCAATGGCAGAAACTTTCTTCAATGGTCTCAGTCTGTCAAACTCTTCATTCAAGGGATGGGTAAATTCAGTTATCTATCCGGCGATGTCTCCCAACCATCAACTTCCGATAAACTTCATGATAAATGGGAGGTGGAAAATTCAATGGTGATGTCATGGCTGATCAACTCTATGGAACCTGATGTCGGCCATACTTATCTCTTTCTTCCAACTGCTCGTGACATTTGGACGGCTGTAAAGGAAACCTATTCTGATGTAGTTAGTGCCAGTCAATTATTTGAGTTAAAAAAGCGCCTCAGAACAGCCAAACAAGGTGAGAAATCTGTCACTCAGTTTTACACAGAGCTTCAAAACCTATGGCAGGAATCTGATCTCTATAGTGATTATAAATGGAGTTGTTCGGCTGACAATGCTAAGTTTCAAAAAATGGTGGAGAAGGAGCGAGTTTTTGATTTCCTTGCAGGTTTAAACAAGGAATTAGATGAAGTTAGAGGCAGATTGCTGGGCCATCATCCGTTACCAATCACAAGAGATGTCTTTGCAGAGGTCCGCCGTGAAGAAAGCAGGCGGGCAGTAATGCTGGGTCATAATCCAATAAACTCCGCATCAGAAATCTCAGCCTTGGTGACTCACAGACCAAAGCAAAATTCCTCGCGGCCACCACAACGAGGTAATCGACCTTTCTGTGAGTATTGTCACCGTGTTGGTCATGTGAAAGCAAAATGTTGGATATTACATGGAAAGCCTGATGATTCTTCACAAGGTATTAGAAAGATAACAGAGTCAGAAATGAAATCATCTTATTAGTTTCAGGAACAAGCTGTACAGATATTTATAGTCATTAGGACTGTAACTAACTCATAACAGACTCCAAGCAAACTGTAAAGTTCTATCCAGTTCTAGCGAGACTTATTACAAATCTGTTATGTACAATACTACTAACATTCCCCCCTCAAAGTTAGGGTGATTGATGTGGACATTCAATCACACTAAGTTTGGTTCTCAAATCAAGAAATGAAGAGGCTGAAAGTGGCTTGGTGAGAACATCAGCTATTTGATGAAGAGCTGGGATATGATATACTGCAAGCTGCTTGGACTGAACCTTTTCTCTCACAAAGAAAAGATCAATCTCCATATGTTTTATTCTGGAATGAAGAACTGGATTATGAGCTAGCTGTACTGTGCTAAGATTGTCACAGTACACACTTGGAGTCTGATAAGGTATTTTAAGCTCTTGAAGCAAAGACTGAATCCATAGCAACTCAGATGTGGTATCTGCTAAGCTCCTGTACTCAGCTTCTGCTGAGGATCTGGCTACACGCTGCTGCTTCTTGGACCACCAAGAGATGATATTAGAACCAAGAAAAATACAAGACCCTGATGTAGATCTTCTGTCAACTGGGTCAGATGCCCAATCAGCATCACAGAAAGCTGAGATGGGTAAAGAGATACTGCTGAGTGGAATAGGCTTGATGATGATACCATGAGTAATGGTGCCAGAAAGATATCTGAGAATATGCTTAACAGCTTTCCAATGATCTTGTAGAGGTGTAGCCATGAACTGACATACCTTATTGACTGCAAAACTTATTTCAGGCCTTGTTAAAGTGGCATACTGCAGTGTTCCAACAATAGACCTGTAGGTAGTAGAATCAGGTAATGGTTCACTCCCTTGATTTGTAAGTTTGCAACTACTGACCATAGGAGTTTTAACTCCTTTTGAATCTGTCATTCCAACTTGATGAAGTAAATCTCTGATGTATTTGGTTTGGGATAAATGAAGACTTCCATTTGGAAGCTTTCTGACTTCAATCCCTAGAAAGTAATCAATTTCCCCTAGATTCTTAAGAGAAAATGAGGAGTGTAGTTTCTGGATGAGATGTTGAATAGCATTAGGTTCATTTCCAATAACCAGGATGTCATCTACATAGATAAGAATGTAGATTTGGATTCCACAGTTCTTATAGATGAGAAGAGATGGATCACACTTGCTTTGGTTAAAACCAGCCTTGTATAAGACAGATGTGAGTTTCTGAAACCAAGCTCTTGGAGCTTGTTTGAGCCCATAGAGGGACTTATGCAATTTGCAAGCAAGAGAGGTATCTTTTGCCTGAAAACCTGGAGGTTGTACCATGTAAACCTCTTCTTCCAATTCCCCATTTAGGAAGGCATTATTGACATCTAGCTGCTGAATGGTCCAGTGATGAGAAACTGCAAGTGTGAGAAGAACTCTGATTGTTACTGGCTTAACAACTGGTGAAAATGTTTCACCAAAATCAAACCCATATCTTTGATGAAACCCTTTAGCCACTAATCTGGCTTTGAACTTATTTAAGGTACCATCTGAGTTTTCCTTAACTCTGAACACCCATTTACACCCTACTGCCTGCTTGTCTGGTGGTAGAGGAACTAAAGTCCATGTCTTATTCTTCATCAAGGCATCATATTCAGATTTCATGGCTGCAAACCAGTTTGGAGATAAAAGAGCTTGCTTAACTGAGTTAGGCTCAGTATGGGATAACAGCAAGGTAGGATTCAATCTTGGTTTGACAATTCCAGATTTTGCCCTAGTGGTCATAGGATGAGTGTTTGTGATAGGTGGAGGTGATATGGAGTTGTGAGAAGATGATGTTGTGTCAGGGGTAGAGGAAGAAGAAACAGTAGGGGAAGAATGATCAAGCTGACCAGCTGGTAGGGTGGAGTGAGGAGAATTTTGAGTGCTAGATAAATGATTGGAAGAATGATGAGAATTCTGAGTGTTAGGGAGCTGTGAGGGGATAGGCTGTGGAGAGGAAGAAACAGTAGGTAAATGTGAAGAGAGTGAAGGAAAGATGGTAATAGGAGCAGATGTTGTGGAAGAAGTATGATTTGAAATGGTATTGTTGGATTGAAACAGACTTGGGTAAGGAAATTTAGATTCATTGAAGGTGACATCTTTGGAAATGTAGATTCTGCCAGAGGAGGATAGGCACTTATAGCCTTTATGGTGAGAAGAATAGCCTAGAAATATGCATTCTTCAGAGTGGAAATCCATTTTGTGCTTATTGTAGGGCCTCAAGAATGGATAACAAGAACAACCAAATACTTTGAGAAAGAGATAATCTGGGTGAGACCCATAAAGTTTGAAATAAGGATTAAGGTTATGAATGGATTTGGAAGGTGTTCTGTTTATAAGGTGGACTGAGGTGGCAAAGGCACTGTCCCAGAATTTGAATGGCAAAGAAGAGTGAGCAAGTAGGGAAAGTCCTTTTTCAACAATTGTACGATGTTTCCTCTCAACAACACCATTTTGATGGTGTGTATGAGGGCAAATGACTCTATGATTGATTCCTTTTTCTGAGAGAAACTGAGTAAAGGACCTAAATTCACCTCCCCAGTCTGACTGAACAGATTTAATAGGGACAGAAAACTGTGTGAGGACATATTGATAGAAGTTTTGAAAGGCTATGAGTGCATCTGATTTCTTTTTAAGGAAATAAATCCAAGTATATCTGCTAAAAGCATCTATGAAGGCAATATAGTAAGAATAGCCATCAAAGGATAACACTGGAGCTGGTCCCCATAAATCAGTGAATATGAGCTCAAAAGGAGAATGAAATTGAGTAGTGGATGCATGAGAAGGTAATCTGTGTGCTTTGCCAAGACAACAAGAAGAACAAAATTCAACATGATTTTTATTAATTGCAGGAATATTACAATGTTTGAGTACAAGCTGCAAGGCCTCAAGATGAGGATGCCCTAGTCTTAAGTGCCACACATTACAATCAGACGATTGATTACAGGACTGGGACTTATTACATAATGAAGACTGAGTGCAAGTAGTTAAACAAGATGACATGTTGGCAGACTGAGAAGACTGTGGAACTTGAACAGACTGTGATGAACCAATGACTGGTGATATTTGAAATTTGTAAAGACCATCCTCACCAAGGATTCCATGCAGTAAAACCTTCTTAGAAACCTGTGATTTCACAAAACAATCATGAGGAAAGAACTCAAAGAAAACATTGTTGTCTTTGGCAAATTGGCTGACACTTAAAAGATTCTTTGTAATGGAAGGAACATGCAAGATATTGTTTAATGAAAGAAGTGTGGAAGAGTGATAGGGTGAGGGAAAAGAGGAATGTCCAACAGACTGTATATCCACACCTTGTCCATTACCCATAAAAAGCTTATCAGTTGAAGCAAATGGCTCACTATGTTGGAGATTTAGTGGGTCAGCAGTCACATGATGCGTAGCTCCTGAATCAGGGAACCAGTGCTGGGATGAGGGCCCTGGTCCAAGCACAGAGGAGTGAATAGATGCCATAGCTGCAGTTGGAGCATGGTTTGGAGGTTGCTGGTTGTAGTTAACAAATTCTGTTGGGTAGCCATGTGATCTGAAGGAAGATGATTGAGGAGATTGATGATTCCATATCTGATTTGGATAGTTAGGATAGTGCATTTGGAAATTAGGATAGATGTTTTGAGAAGGGGCTAATGATTGTTGATTGTAAGCATTGGTAGGAGGTGCAGAGTTCTGATTGAAATAATTTGGAGTGGAAGCAGCGTATGCAGGATTATACCTGTGATAGCAGTTCAGGGCATTATGACCATTCTTTCCACAAACTTGACAAGCAACACTATTCCGACCTCCATATCGGCCACCTCGTCCTCTGAAAGAGCCTCCACGACCTCGTCCCCTGTAGAGAGGATTAGAAGGTTGATTTTGATACTGAGCAATACTTGCTGAAGAAGTTTCTGTAGTTGTTGGAGGAACAGTTTCAGAATTAGGAGATGGAGCTTCTGCACGAGCTAAATTTGCCGAAAACAATGTTTGTTGAGAAGATTCTCTGAGTTTCTTCTGTCGTAATTCTTTAGCAAGCAGTAGAGATTCAAGCTCTGTAAGAGTGATAGGATCCAACATGCTTCGAGATGACACAGAGGAGACAAGAGATTCGTACTCCTCTGGAAGTCCTTCCAGGATAACATTAATATGTTCTTTGGTAGAAACAGGTTCACCAATGTTCATCAGATTATCAACGATGTGCTGAATGCGAAGGAGATAATCTGCGATAGATCGATCGCCCTTTCCGATTGAGTACAGCTCAGACTTGAGCTGTCTAGCTTTGGCGACAATGATTGCCTGAAAATATTTGTCAATTTCATTCCAGAGTTGATATGAAAATTGGCAATGAATCACGCGAGTGTGCAAGGTTTCGGAGAGAGACGCTAGCAGCCAAGAAAATAACATTTGATCCTGCTGCTCCCAAAGGACGTATGCATCGTTCTCAACCTTCGTACCTTCTCCATCGCCGGCTATGAATCTTTCCGGAATCTCAGGTTTCTCAATGAATTTGAGCAGTTTATGAGCACGAACAACAGATCTGACATGATGTTTCCATAGAAGAAAATTGTGCGAATCAAGCTTAATAGGAAGAGGATGATTGAAGATGATCGGAGCGGAAGTGATTTTTGGGGTTTGAGAAGAAACGGAATCCGAACTTGAGGTCACCATTGAGGAACGAGCTTAGAGCTCTGATACCATATTAGAAAGATAACAGAGTCAGAAATGAAATCATCTTATTAGTTTCAGGAACAAGCTGTACAGATATTTATAGTCATTAGGACTGTAACTAACTCATAACAGACTCCAAGCAAACTGTAAAGTTCTATCCATTCTAGCGAGACTTATTACAAATCTGTTATGTACAATACTACTAACACAAGGTATTAAAGAGAGTATAAAGGTCTCCATGTGTCTTCTGAAGAAGCCAGTGCCAGTGCATCTCAACAAAATGAGCAGTCCTATTTCTCCATGGGGCAGCTAGAGCAATTGTACAAACTTTTTAACTCTCATCATCAGTATGGATGTCACTTTCTTTGAAAATACTCCTTTCTTTTCCAAAACTGATCTTCAAGGGGAGAAAGATATTATACTTGAAGATCAGCCAGTCGTTCCTACTGAATATGTCCTACCTAATCCGGTGATTCCTGCTGAAAATGAACATGTTCCGGCCCAAACAACTTCCCAGCCTATTCTTCGTGTTTACTCCTGGCGTCCTCGTCAAGGGGTGACACCAACACCTTTGCTAGCACCATCAACATCTGATCCGACTATAATTCCAGGTAATTCTAATATTCTTGAGTCTGATTTTGTTCCCATCACTGATCCAGATCCCAATCTCCCCATTGCCCTTAGAAAAGGTACTAGAGAGTGCACGAAACACCCCATTATTCATCATTTATCTTATGCTAATCTTTCCTCTAGCTATAAAACCTTTACTACCAGTATTACTGATGATGAGATTTCTAAGTCTATACATGAAGCTCTAGCTATTCCTAGCTGGAAAGAGGCTGTTCTAGAAGAAATGCGTGCTCTTAAAAAGAAGAGCACATGGACAGTGACCAAACTTCCTCCAGGCAAACGTACTGTAAGTAGTAAATGGATCTTTACAATCAAATATAAAGCTGATGAAACAGTGGAGAGATTCAAGGCACGACTGGTCGCTAGGGGCTTTACACAAACATACGGAATGGACTATGAAGAAACATTTGCTCCCGTGGCAAAACTAAATACAGTAAGAGTCCTACTTTCATTAGCAGCAAATCATGAATGGCCTTTACATCAATTTGATGTGAAGAATGCATTCCCTAATGGGGAATTGAAAGAGGAAGTTTTGATGGAAATACCACCAGGTTTTGATAATTATAACACAGTTGGAAAAGTGTGCAAGTTAAATAAGTCATTGTATGGCTTAAAGCAATCTCCAAGGGCATGGTTTGAGAGGTTTGCAAAGACAATTAAACAAGAAGGTTACACTTAGTCACAAGCTGATCACTCATTGTTCTACAAACACTCCTCAGATGGAAAATAAGCCATTCTCATAGTGTATGTAGATGATATTGTAATGACAGGTGATGATGTTGCAGCACTTGAGAAACTGAAACAACTTTTAGCCACACAATTTGAAATCAAAGACCTTGGAAATCTGAAATATTTCCTAGGAATGGAAGTGGCAAGGTCAAAGAGAGGGATAGCTCTTTCCCAAAGGAAATATGTCCTAGACTTGCTCAAAGAGACAGGCTTACTCGGATGCAAACCAGCTGTGACTCCTATTGATCCAAACCAAAAGCTGTCTTTAGATGATGGGAGCACTCCAACGGATACAACCAGGTATCAAAAACTGGTAGGGAAACTCATATATCTATCTGACACACGGCCTGACATTGCTTTTGCAGTTAGCTTGGTGAGCCAGTTTATGCATTGTCCAAATGACACTCATCTTAAGGCTGTGCACAGAATATTACATTACCTAAAGGGAAGTCCAGGAAAAGGTCTTTGGTTTGAAAAAATGAGAGCAGGAAACTAGAAGTATTTACATATGCTGATTGGGCAGGAAACATTAATGACCGAAGATCAACCACAGGATATTGTACCTTCCTGTGGGGTAACCTTGTCACGTGGAGAAGCAAGAAACAAGATGTTGTATCACGCAGTAGTGCTGAATCAGAGTACAGAGCCATGGCTTCAGGTGTTTGTGAACTCATTTGGATAAGAAGAATCTGGAAGGAAATTAAAGAGGAAATTGAACAACCCATGAAGCTGTTCTGTGACAATAAATCTGCTATAAATATAGCAAACAATCCTGTTCAACATGACCGTATGAAGCACATAGAGATTGACAGAAATTTCATTAAAGAAAAACTTGAAAGTGGAGAAATTTGCATGCCTTATGTCTCTACTAAAGAACAGTTGGCAGATGTGCTTACAAAGGGTCTATTCAAATCAGCATTTAAAGAACTTATCAGCAAGCTGGGCATGATTGATATCTTTGCACCAGCTTGAGGGGGAGTGTCGAATATCTTTAGAATAGGTCAATTAGTTACATGTTGTTACTATAGATTAGGTTAACTTGTAATTAATTATTGTAAATCTTATCCCTTCTTTGTAGGATCGGTTGTTGTATTGTACTATAAATATACAACTCAATGAAAGAAGAGTTTACATCGGCTAATCATTTTAATCTTTAGTAACACTTTCAAAAGGCAAAATTTAAACAGTGTTATGCTGTAGAGTATGACTAAGTTTTTATATATATAAATAAAGAATCAATGTAGCTTCATTTGAAAGTTTGTAACGCAAACCAATTGTCCGCCCGAAGAATGTCCATCTTCCGAAAATGTCCCATAGGAGCCTCCCCATCCCCATGCATACACATTGCCACCTGGTAACACGACACTAAGGTTCACTTATCATTACATAAAAATATATTAAACTGGCAAATAGTGCTTCATTAGAAACCAATAAACAGTTGACAAGTGAATTTGTTCATTCGATGTCAAAATTTGACTGCAAAAGGATTGAATTAATTGAAAGAATAAGTTACATGTAGCAATAACATGAAGATAGAGCGGTATTTCGACTTGGTAATTATTACGTATAAAACTACAATCTATTAAGTAAAGGAAAAAATGTACAATGTGCCTCAATTGAAAACAATGTGCTAAAGCATTAAGAGAGGGGACACGATGCCTCAACTCTCTCAATACATCACACTGCAACAAAAATATCAAAGAAAGAAAGGCAAAGGCCCAATACTTGACGCCTATTCGCCTACAAATTATTAGAGAGGTATATTCATTTTCAGAAAAACAAGAGGATGGCAGTAGAAAAAAAGTTTTAACTCTCACATTTTCTGGAACTGTCTCCAATATTTCTCTCCTTGCAAATTTAGAACAAAACATTCTAGTACTTCCAAAACATTAAACAGAGCCTGGTGGCCACATCACCCAGAATATCATTTTGGTCACATAGTAGCTGCTTCACACCAAAAACACATAACTATGGTCACTACTAGTGATTGCGTCAATTGCAGATAAAATTCACCGGTAATAGTGCCCACACTAACCACCCTACCACCACCGTCAATGAGTGTGTAAGTTACGTGTTAGTAAACATCAAATATACAAAATGGAAAACATTAAACAACAAACAAAAGATGGAAAGTGAAATCTGAAAAGCAAAAAATAGAGAAAAAAAATGGAGAATAGAAGTAATCGGTTCGAAACAGTCATATTTTTTTAGAAGGCGTGCCTATGTTTTTGAAATAGAAATACTCCGTATTTGGATAAATGTTCTCTTTTAATAAAAGGTAAGCCATATAAATTTCAGCGGACTTTTAATCCTTAATCCAATAGAATTACCAGAAATCGCTGCTGTGTGTTTCCAACCACAAGATACCTGTAAAAAAAGAATAATGCAACATCTTGTGACAAACAAATGATTTCTTATTTTCATATATAGACATGCAGGGGACTATGGTGGCTATGCAAACACATGCTCCTTTTCAGGATTTAGAGGGAGATATTTTATTCTTAATTCTTTGTCTTTTTTTTAGTAGCCGAACTTGTACTAGATTGTTCTTGTGATATATGTAGATTAATTACTTCCTCCGTTCTTTCTAGTTGCAACATTTCCATTTTCACGTTTGTTGACATACATGTTTGACCATTAATATATTACATTCCTTATTATTAAATAAATTTAAAAAAATCTTCCATTCCTTATTAGTAAAAAAATAAAAAATAAATCAGAATTTGTAAATTTAAAGTGAGAGGAATTTAACAATTTTTTTAAAAATTTACCAATGTGAATAGTGTAAAATTCAACATGTTGTAACTAAAAAAGAACGGAGGTAGTATTTTGACTATTTTCTAATACTTCGTATAACAAAACTGTATTCCCTTCGTCCGTTAAGAGAAGTTCCCACTTTCCTTTTTGTTCGTCTCAAACTTATCTTCCTTTTTCCTCAAGGAAAAACTAAGTGGTTGACATTTTTCTTAATAGAGCAAATGAGAAGCTAATTCGGGACTAATAAAATACTTATTAACCAAACTGCTAATTCCTCTACACTCCTTTATTGAACCCAACAGTCTTTTTTTAAAACTACCTTTGTTTTTAACCCCTCCCCTTCTCTCATTTCTGATCCCCTCTTTTGAACCAAGCAAGGGCTTGTCCTCTCACATAGTCACATGACCAAAGAGGTAGGAGAAATCCAAAGAACCTTGTGTAAGTGTGTTAAGTTTCCATACTCACTAAGCAGGTTACGAAAACAATTACACAAAATCTCAAGTTAGAATTCCTCAAATTAAACATGATGAGATGACAACGGTTGAAATCTTAAGACACATGGATGGTAAATATTCAAAGAATTTTATTGTCCATCACTCCATCCATAACTCATAGTCACATTACAGGGCGAATCAAGAAAAGATAATTACAGGGTAATTTGAGAATTAAGTTATGAGATTAGGCAAAAAGGGTAGGTACCACATATCCTAGTTAGACCCTGACAATACTGATTTAGAAAACTACAAAAAACAAAAGAAAAGTGACACAATTGACAACAATAAGAGTGAAAAGCATGACAAGGTCTGATAAGAATGTTTTGTTCCCAACTACAGTGCAAAGTAAAATGTGTAACAGACCTTGTGAACATAATCCATCATATATGAACCTTGAACCCTTTCAGGTGAATAAGTAACATCTGTACAACTGGTGCACATATAGGTAAATGTCATACAACTGGGATATAATGAACATAAATAATTAATGGAGAAACATTTGCTATGTCCAATATCTGATGAGATTATGAGAAGAACTTTTTTTACAACGCACCCAGTTCCAAGACAGCCATTCTCATTAGAGCCCCATGTATACAGCTCTCCACCACCTGCAACAAAATATAGTGCAAACCAGATTTATAGAGGGCTAAGCGATGCCCAGGATCCAGCATAAAATAAGTAATTCTAGACACTTTGTTGTATGAAAAGGCAATGTTATTAATTCAGGAAAATGTGAAATTTATTTCTCAAGAACAACAGGCAAGGAATCCAGAATTCCAGATTGAAGAACTTCTATAAATAAATCAACAGGGAAGAGGAAAGTTTGTTAGTTTAATACTACCTCCGTCCCATTTATATTGTCCCTGAAGAGGGTGGCACGGTTATTAAGAAAAGTGGGTTTGTGTGATTGATATTAATTGATAAAGTAAGAATAAAGTAAGAATGATTTAGAGCCACACAAACTTTGCCAAATATGGTATGGGACAATTTAAGTGGGACTTCCCGAAAAGGTAAAACGGGACAATATAAATGGGACGGAGGGAGTAGTTAATTCTCTAACCATTCTTGAAAGCTGACCACACTTACATTTAGTGGGGTACTTCATCAGAAGTCAGAACATTATTAGCTTATGTATAAAGCCTTATATCTACTGATTATCTGGTTTCTACAAGAGTTGAAAGTACATTTGGTTCACCACACGTTACCATGTAGTCATTGTTAGATTAAGGAAGAAGGTCATTACTTGTAACAACACACGTGTGATAACCACCACATGCAGTCATTTCTGAAGATGGCAACTCACATACGACACATGGTTCTATATCACAGTATGCATCCCCAAAGCCCTACATTATTAAGAGAACATAATTAGGCGGACAATAGTCAAAGTAAATGACAATCCTGGAACCAAAAATATAAGTATAAGCTTAGTCATTAGGTTTTAGACGCTTACAAATTTTGTCTTTGCTCTTTGACCAAAAGTATATACACATCCATTCTCTGTAGGATTATGACAAGGTTAATCAATAAAATGGAACAAAAAATGACGATGTTTCTCCATACTTTCAGATAGCATTTTAGTGCATTGTTCGAAAAGAGGATAAAAACATTACCACATACGCAGGCAGAATGCAACATCCCAGCACCAGCTTGTTTAACCTAATTAAAGATGAGTGATGTCACACACATAGAGGATCCAATGAATACCCATATTACTACTACTACTAGGCATATGCTGATCTCAGAGGGGATATTGAATGACTGAAAGGTCTTAGCATTTATACAGCTTACTGTACCTTCATACTTTCAAGCTTCTTTATAAGCCTTGGTGCATATTCACTGCATTTCGAAGAAAAAAGAGTAAATGACAGAGAGCCACAAATCACATGAAAGTACTTCATAAAACATATGGAGGCACATCAATCAATGTCTTGTTGTTTTTATTGGCTAACAAGCAGATCTTTTTAACACAGTGCTGTGCTTTACAGGACTTCTTGTTTGTGCCTCTCTAACAAGTAACAAATTGATGCAGAAAATATACTGTTCAAAACTTCAATTTTCAAATTGTGATGGGAAGCGAAACATAAAAAGTTTTTCAGCTTACTCCGATATGAATTATCTTAGAGGAAAAGACAATAAAATGATAAAGAAAGAGAAATAAAGAGAAATATGTCATTTCTTCCATCCTCTCAGTTCATTACTGTCCAGAACCAGAGTTAGTATCCTTCTCTCTCTGTTTTTCTTCCAATAGGAAATAATAAAATTGTAAATTCCGTTTTACACTAAAATACAATGGCATACATTTATGAGAATCCATTCGGAGTAAAAGCATCTAAGCATGTTTACGATAGAGTGTTGATAAAATGATTTCTTCTAGCCAACAATATGATGATATATTTCCAAACTGTTCCAGAAGGCACAATTCTAGTTAAATTCAACTCTGCCTTTACTATCAGTACTGCACAAACCCATTTAAATAATCTCCTCTCTTATGCTGCTGTGAGATAGCAAACATTCACCAATATCCTCTCTAATGATCTAGTAACAGAATTATGACAAAAGATCAGTGTGAAATACTCAAAAGATAAAAAATAATTAAGGAGGCAGCTTTCTTTAGTCGGTATGATATTAACAAGCAACAAAAGATTTGCAAAGTATTGAAGGGGGTACTAGCTTTCAAGGAAAGGAAAGGCAGGAAAAGGAAGATAAATCATAAATGTTTGGTACTTCATTAAAGCAGACCCTTCTCTCTTGGTAAGAAGTAGTTCTGAGTCCAATTAACAAATTTTCATAAACCAACATATAGAAGATTTTGTGTTAGACTAGCAAGGTAGGATCCAATTGCTAGAAACTGAAGATCATGTTCCTTTCAGGTAACATTGTAATATTATCAACCATCATAATGGACCTGTTACTTTTTAACATTCCAGAAATTCCTGAACGTAGTCCATGACCAAGTTGTCCAGAGCTTCCCCCACCCCAACTCAAGGCCTCACCATGAACTGCTAAAAAAAGTTACATATCATGCACTCATTTTCTTTCTGTATTAACTAAAAGTGAGCATCAATAGCACAGTGGAAAAAGTATATTTTTCATGTTCAAGATGCCAAGATTATATCATACCTGTAACAGCAATTGAATGTTCAAGACCCAAGGAAGCTGCTTTTATAGGTAGCCCATTCAAACTTTCAACTTTTCTCGGAAATGGAACTACTTTATTGGCTTCTAGAGATAATTACAGTAAGATTATACAGGTTAAGTTATTTCAGCATTTTTTCATTATTATAATAATCATCTGGTATTATATTTTCCAGTTACAGTAAAAATTACTTCTAAGTCAACCTAAGGAGTAAATTTTCATAAGAAAAAATATTACTCTTTCCAAGGCCAAGTTGTCCACTCGAGTTCCTTCCCCACATATAGAGTTCACCATCAACTGCAAACATGATATAATGAGCATCACATACATGACTCAAATGTAACTACAAAAGATTCGGGAAATGACTAGTTCAGACAAAGTTGAGTAAAGTTCAGGAAAATCTGAAGCCAGACTCCAACTTTAAAAAATATTTAGAAATTTTAGGGGTGCATATTTTATTCTTTTCTTCTTTTGATATGCAAGTCTATGTTATTATGCGTAGAAAAGATAAATCAGTAACACATCGGTTCTGACTAAAGGTCACAACACATATCAACTCTGTAAAGCGTTTAAAATGTTCATAAAATGATCTAGGCCCTCTACAGTCCTTAAGCACACTGATAGCACAAGAATGATAAATAATTTTTTCCCTACAATGTGGAGGAAAAATTCATTAAGGTCATTTATAACATACCTGTAACAGCACAAGAATGATGATAACCAGCAGAAATTTTTACAATGTCTTTGGGGAGTGAGGCAACACAGACTGGCTCCTGCAACAGTGATTTTATTTAAGTTTACAGTCAATGCATATTAGTGGTAAACTGGTAATTTCATATGAGCACACTTGACAATTAGTACTCATGGCTATAACTTACTACCTCCGTCCCTTAAAACTTTGCCAAAGTTGACCGACACGGAGAATAATAAAGTAAAAACTGTGTGGTTGAGGTTTGTGCAGAGGAGAGAGAAATAACAGAAACCACAAAATAATTGATTAAAAGGGAAAGTGGCAAAGTTTTTAGGACGTCCCAAAAAGGAAAGATGGCAAAGTTTTAAGGGACAGAGGGAGTATAATTTAATTTGAGACCACTGGCTAGCGATCATAATAGGATATATAAAGTAATAAAATGGACAAAATATGGTATAATTAGAAAAACCATATACCAACACAAGCAACTACAGTACTAAGTACTAACCAACAAGATCAGTTTTTAATATTTGAACTTAAGTAAAGTTTCACATCTCCTTTCAAAATACAAGTTGCCCACATCTCCAGATTCAAAAGAATGAGTGTAGGAAAGACAGGGAATGATAGCTCGTACAGTGGCATAACTTTTATCATCTGGAATGCCTAGCTGTCCATAATCATTGAGACCGCAAGCATAAACACTGCCATTTTCTGTCAAAAAGAACTATTAGTTTATGAGTATCTCTTACAAAAGCACTTGACGATCTTCTAGGCTTCCAGCAATTGCCAAAATGGAATATACCAATTTTTCAACAATTATGTTCAGATTTGTACATAAAGCATGGAGGTATAGCTCATTGCATATACAAAAAAGTAAAAAAAAGGGAAAATGGAAACTAATAATCCAACCTTTTATTGGTCTTCTTACAATAGTCCCACCTTTTCGTTATTCAAGAATAATCCAACCTTTGCACCTCATCTTCATTCGTTGGTCCCTGACCGGTTAATGACCTGCTATTTCAAGTTATTTTCTTATCTTTGCAAAATATTATCTTTGTGAAAGGTGATATGTATGGTATAATGGTTTGCAAAGATAAGAAAATAACTTGGAATATCAGGTCATCAACCGGTCAGGGACCAATGAATGAAGATGAGGTGCAAAGGTTGGATTATTCATGAATAACGAAAAGGTGGAACTATTGTAAGAAGACCACTAAAAGGTTGGATTATTAGTTTCCATTTTCCCTAAAAAAAATTGTAAAAGAGAAGTTATTTCAAGTAGAAATCCCAAAAGAGAACCAGAAGAATGAATTATGTCTCAAACCATTGAAGCGTGAAGGTAAACTCTATGCAAACATTATAGAAGAATCAATTCTCACAAAGAGTCTAAAACAGTTCAGGGTAACCAAGGCTGGGAAGCATATCAATATTGTGTTGGATGTATATCATAGGATATATGCAGAATAATGTTTAATATAATACTCCCTCCGTCCCTTAAAACTTTGACAACTTTTTGTTGTTGTTGTCCCACTAGCTTTGCCATTTTCCGTAAAGAAATTGTGATTCTATTAATTCTCTCTCATGTGCACAAACCTCAACCATACAACTTTTACTTTATTAATCCCTGTGCCGGTCAAACTTGGCCAAGTTTTAAGGGACGGAAGGAGTAATAAATTATACTCCATAAATAAAAAATAGAAAAAAAACAGCAAGGATAATCTGACGCTAGTGATAAGAGAAGGCAAGGGACAACCCTTTATCTTTAACACGAATTTGCCCAGTACAGTGCTCTTCAATTCACCAACAATCTTCTACCAAAATATAACTTCTTCCAGTAGTAGCACAATAAACTCAAAGAGCATGACGAAATTATAGGACAATAATAAAATATTAAGATAAAACTATGTATGGAATGTATGCAGAACTTTTCCTTGTGGAATGGTGTTCATTGACTTAGAAAAGGCATATGATAGGGTACCTCGAGAAGTCATTTGGTTGTTCTTAACTAGAAAAGGCATATGACGTAAGTATATCAGTATCATCATGGATATGTATGAGGCTTGTACTACTAGTGTAGGGAGGACCGCAGAGTTCCCTATTACTATCGGAGTGCACCAAGGATCGGCTTTGAGTCCTTTCTTATTTGTTATAGTCATGGATGAACTTACGAAGTCAATTCAAGAAGATATACCGCGATGCATGATGTTTGCCGACGATATTGTATTGATTGATGAGACGCAAGCGGGTGTTAAAGCAAGGTTGGAAGTATGCCGACAAACATTGGAGATCAAGGGTTTCAGAGTTCAGACTGAGCCGAAGCAAGACTGAGTATATGAAGTGCAAGTTTGATGAAGGTAGAAGTAGTAGCGACAGTGGGATTACATTTGATGGTAAGGAGATAATGATGTGTGATATGTTTCGTTACTTGAGCTCCATAATTCAGAAAGATGGTGAATTAGATGGAGATGTATCCCATAGAATCAGAGATGGGTGGATGAAATGGAAGAGTGCATCAGGATTTCTATGCGATCGAGGTATGCCGACTAGACTGGAAGGTAAATTTTATCGAACAACAATTAGGCATGCATTAATGTATGGCGTAAAGTGTTGGGCGGTGAAACCATGTCACATTCAAAAGATGAATGTGGCAAAGATGCGTATGTTGCGTTGTATGTGTGGACATACCAGAAAAGACCGTTTGAGGAATGAGATAATAAGATAAGAGGTGGGAGTAGCACCTATAGAAGATAAGATGCAGGGGTCTCGTTTGCGGTGGTTTGGGCATGTGCATAGAAGACCGGGTGATGCACCTGTTAAGCGACTTGAGGGGTGAGGAGAAGAGACAGAGGGGAGAGGGAGGGGAAGACCCAAACAGACTTGGATTAGAGGAATCGGAACGGATATGCGTCTTCTTGGGCTGGATGAGAATATGGCTTTGGAGAGGGCAAAGTGGAGGACACACATTCGTATAGCCGATTGATCTCTTTTCTATATCTTTCTTCTCTCCTTTTCTTTTATCATTTATCTTCTTTGTCTTTTTATGTTCTTATGTTATTTTTATCCTCTAGCTTTTTTATGCTCTTTTTCTTTTTATTTTTATTTTATCTTTCTTATATTCTTATGTTATTATTATCTTATACTCCCTTCGTATTTATACGTTCTCTATAATAGCTATTGGCACAATGTTTTAGGAGAAAATAGTAGAGGTAATGAATAGTGTAGAAAAAGTAGGAGAGAAAGTGGAAAAATAGGAAAGAGAAAATAAAAAATAGAAAAAGTAAGGACCAAAAGGGAAAGTGTAACAAACTTTTAAATACATCCCAAATAGGAAAGTGTAGCAAACATTAAAATACGGAGGGAGTATTTGTTTATCTTTACCTTATTCGTTTTTTGGCATCGATATCATGGATTGGTTCATTTTAGCCGACCTCAAAATCTTTTGGGACTAAGAACCTGTTTGGTAACATTGAAATTGACTGAATCAGCTAATTCTGCTGAAATTTATGAAGTTCTGGTTGAAATAGCTGAAATGGTTGATTCTGTTGGTTTATGAAAAAAATATATTTAAAATATACTCCCTCCGTTTCGCAAAGAAAGTCACGGTTTGACTTCTCTAGGATTAAGGAAATAAATTGACTTTACTGTAGAAAACACTGCTTAGACACTGTTTGGCACTGTTTAGACACTGTTTGGCACTGTTTGACACTGATTGGCACTGTTTTGAAGTGTGAATTTGTTTTTGAAACATCCAAAAAAGGAAAGTGTGACTTTGTTTGTGAAATGGAGGGAGTACTTTATTAATAAAATAAAGAAAAACTGTATAGAAAAAATTATATGGAAATACATTTTAGCTAAAATATGGATAAAACTAACTTCAACCCTACTTATTTTGATTATTACACAATTCAGCGTGCGAAATCAAAAGTTACGTGTTTGGTGGAAGAGTTGGCTGAGAAGACAAGACTGATGAGCCTAAAAACATGGTAGCTCTAAAACATTTAAGGGAGTGTTTGCAACAGCTTAAAAAAAGCACTTTCAACTTTTGTCTTAAAAAGCACTTATTTACCAAACACTACCAATTTTTACTTTTTCTCGACTTGCGTGTGAAAAGTGTTTTTCCCTTTTCTATTACACAAAAAACAATTATTTTACCAAACACTATCAACTTTTACTTTTCAAAATCACTTTTTTCTCAAACATTATCAACTTTTACTAAGTAACTAACTTTAAGCATTAATATCTCATTCCACCCAAAGTGGTTTTGCGAACTATATAATGCTAAATTCATCTAATCTCAAAGTATATTCTAAATATATCAATTGTTTATCATATTATCAAACGGATCCCACAAAAATATATTATTAACCACGCTGACTCAAAGCAAGTTTCAACACATCTATCCCAGATTAGGGAACCAGAAAGTAAAAGTGGTGTTTATCCTACAAATTGACAACTTTTAGCGTATATTGGTCTCCTGCGTCTTCTAGGGGCATTCTAGCCTCTACGAATAATGGGGTTATCGATAATTAATTCAGGCATTAAAAAATGAATTTGAGCTTTATATCAAACAATCAAGTACTCCGAAATCACTGGGAGTTATAAGTTTATGATAAGGAGCTTGAGGGTTCAAGCGAACCTGTGAGGAAAAGAGTGTGAGCACCACCGCAAGCGATGTCGCGGAGGCTTTGATCATGAAAAGCGGATGGCAGCAGAGGTTTAGGGCTCCACTGCGATTCAATGCTGCCATATCCCAGCCTCCCGAAGTCGCCGTTTCCCCACAGAACGGCGAACCTATTTCCGTAGCCTTCAGCGGCGGCGGAAGAAAGCAAGCGCCGAAATCTTGGTCCTATTATATCCTGAACACCAATTGACGTATTGTTCCTCCTATTCCCGAATGATCTAGCTAATTTCAGAGCGTTCATCATCATCATCGGCAATAACGTGTCAAGAATACACCGATCATTTCCGTTATAGGAGGCTCTAAGCTGAAGAATGAAGAAACAACTAACGTTGACGTGGAAAGCTGTGAGCGTAGAGTAGTCTGTCTTGACTTTAGGACGTGGAAAGTATTTTTTAGTCACGTACCAAAAAAAAAAATGCATAAAGTTTTTGCAAGTACCGGGTACAGAGCCCGACCCTCTATCTGTAAGATTGTGATTATAGTCCAATTTACATCCTCCCATCGTGCCGTCCGGTCGGTGTTGGGGGCCCTCAGTGATGGGGTGTCATCCTTTTTTTAGTCACGTACCAAATCATATTAGAATAGGTCAATCATTTATCATACGACATCAGACCAGATCACACCAGACTAGAAAATTCCACTTCAAGTAACAACTTTCTAAAATAATTAATTCTACCTCCGTCCCATTTTATGTGACTTGGCACGGTTATTAATGAAGTGATTGAAAAAGTAAAAATTGTGATTGAGGTTTGAGTATAATAAAGTGAAATGATGTAGACCACATATTTCTTTCCAAAAGAGAAAAGTAGACACTTATTTTGGGACAACCCAAAAAGGAAAATAGGACAGGTAAAATGGGACGAAGGGAGGAGTATTTACTCAGTAGTAAATATACTACTGAGTAAATAATTGTCAAATAATTGCAATAATATACATTAAATGATACTCAGTAGTATTTACTACATTGATCACAGAAGAAAAACATACTTTGGAGTTACAAATCCTAATTACTCCTATTTAGACATTTTCTCTTTATTATTTGTTATTAGCAATTTGGTTTATGATTCGATTTTTATAGATTTTGATTCAGTTTGATTTATTCGGTTTCGGAAATGTTGTGCTCCCTCGGTCTCAAAATTTTGCAAATTTTACTTACACAAGAAGTAGTAAAATAAAAATTATGTGAATGAAGTTTGTATAAAGGATTGAAAAGTGACAAGAATCACAAATTGATTGATTAAAAGGACTCGTGACAATATTTTTTAGATTACCGAAAAAAGAAATGACACCGTTTTAAAAGAATGAGGGAGTACCAAAGTAAAATTCAGTTTTAGATTCATAACCCGTTTGGTGACCCTTTTTCATCTTATTATGTATTATTACCAACTAACTTTTTTTATCGAACCCATAATTTTTTATTTCAAGTATTGAATTGTGTCATACGACTATACGAGTAATAAGAAAAAACAAGGTTGGGTTACCTTTCTGGATATATTGACTGAAGTTATTGTAGAGGATCATTGTAGTCATTTTTCACAATTCTTTTCTTTTTTTATATTTAATAAAAAGGTATTTTGATGTTTTTTCCATAAATAGCAGAATCAGTTAATCCAGTTTTTTAGTCAAAATTTCATAAATTTCAACAAAATCAGCCAATTGAGTAGGGGTGGGCAAAAGACCCGGTCCCGTTGGTCCGTTCCGGAATGTTCCGGTTCCGTCCCGAAATTGTCCCGATATATTTGGGATACATTATTTTTGTCCCGTACCAGTCCCGAACCGTTTTAAAACAAAACAGGACCGGGACAAGTAAAATATATCCCGTTCCGTCCCGTTGTCCTGAATCCAAAATTGTACATAGTACTTTGTAGTAGGTTAGTGAGTTTATTAACAACTCATTATGTAATCCAAACAAATAATAATAGTTATTCTTTTTTCACAACCCAAATACAAATGATTATTAAATACTAGTTGATTAATAATATAACACCTAAAAAACTCTAAACTACCTACTATCACATACTATGAACTATCATCTATCTACAAAAAAAAGAAATTGATTTTTACTCTCAAAGTATTCTTTTATCATTTTATTATAGATTTATTGATAGATTTTTGTGATATAGTTTTTTCTGCTACAACTTTTGTTTCATGCAGCTAATCTGGTAGGTTGCATTTTTTTCTCACAATTTTCTATATTAGATATAGCTTTTTTGTCATAGAGTTTTCTTGCGCTAGTTTTTTTTCAAATAGCTTTGTTTTGTTTTTGGATTGAAATTGTTTGACTACAATTTTTTGGGATGTCCCGAACTGTCCCGTTTTGTCCCAGTACCGGTTTAAACGGGACAACAAAAGGACAACGTCTTGTCCCGTCCCGTTCTGAACCGTTATTGTAAAACGGGTTCAGGACCGGGACAACCCAATTCTCGTTCCGTCCCGGACCGTGCCCACCCCTACAATTGAGCCACTTCAATCAGGCTTTCATAAATTTCAAGTGAATGGGTCAATTCATCTAATTTAATATGAGTTTACCAAAGATTTCCCGTTGGTGACTATTTTTAGCTTATCAACCACTTTTTTTAACCTAATTTTTTATTTCGAGCACCGAATTGTGTAATAATAAGAACAATCAAGATTAAAGTTGCTTTTTTTACTGTATCATCTAAAATTACTTACTGTAGAGGACTATATTAGTTATTTTTCATATAATTTTCTCTTTATTTTATACTCGGTAATACATACTCCGTATTTAAAATGTACTCCGTAATATTTTCCATAAATCAGAATCTTCACTTCAATCAAAACTTCTTTTAACCGAATCGGCCCTATTCAGCATTTCAGCCTATTTGAGTTTGGTTTCCCGGAGTATAATACGAGCAGATTTTTGTTCAGTTTGATTTATTGGGAAGTGTTCTTTGCAACTGAATTTACCTGATCGAAGTCTATCTTATCAGCTTTACCACCTGTACACGTTTGCAGTGTTTCGGAATCTCTGTCCAATCCGGCATGCCATACACCGTTGGTGACACGGGCTCGCCGTCAGCTTCGGGTGAGTTTAACGTGAACAAATGCAATCGGCTATATATAGCCTTAACGAATTGCCACCGCCGGATTCGCGGTGGCCTGGACCGGGAGATTGCATGCCGCCACCTGAATCGATCGCTGGCACAGTGCCTTGTGGCGGAGGCATGTCCCGCCGAGTCTGATGCCGTACGCAGCCTTTGCTCTAGTGGCGGCACCGCCCTCAAGCGCCAGCAGTGCCGTGAAGCACAGTTGGCCCTCTCTGTCTGCTTAGACTCTCATCAACCCCCACCCTGAAAATTGAAACCCACTTTATTCCCTTGTAAACTACCTGTGATTCACGGGTTGTCCTTTGTCTGCCTCACCCAAGCTCTGTATTACACTAGACATCACACACACATACACACACAGCTCGTTCTAATTACTGTCACTGTATTCAATTATTTCCCATGGTACTTTTATTGTCTTCCCAAGTACTACCCCTGGAATGGAAAATTTGATTCCCATTGAAATAGAACACTGCTTTTTAAGTATTCGTCTTTATTTCAATAGCATTACTTTTATCCTGAGAAACAAGAGTGTAAGATTCTTGTGTACAAAAGTCTTACATTTTGTGCTCGAAATTATTAATTTTCTTTTCAAATAATCTTTTAGTATGATGTTTTTTTTGTTCCTAAAGCATTCTTCTGTTGTAAAAAATTGGCTCAATACAAAAGGCCATGCACTGCTAGTCCAGAACAGCTGAAAGAGATCTAAGTTCATTCCCAGTGGGTCCAGCCCAAAGGTCCACACTCAAACACCACCTCTGGTCTAACCTCCTTGGAGAACTATAATAAGGATAAACCATCATATACGGTCTAGTGACTTGCGACCTTTTCCTACGTTATCTGATCCATCACCACTTCTTATGGCTTCTTTGCTGACCAGTTAGACTAAAGACATGCTGGGAAGATCAAATGATAACACATAGAAAGAGCCCAAAGAGTACATTTCACTGTCGGAGTGTCGGTTCTCATAAATCATCTTCCACAATGTTTTGAGACGACCCGGCAACTCATACAAGAGTTCAATATTCATAACATGCATGCTTATCAAGATTGAGATCTTGACTAAGATAATGAACATTATGGGATATATTCAATTGTAAGAGCATTTAGAATTTCATAAGTACTCATAAAAATTTAAGGTTAGGTCTGTATAAAGCTGTACATGGGGTTAGACTGTACTTACCAGTTACCACCAAGTCACTAACAACTAATTGAGATATTACTAACATTCGTTTAGTTAATTTCTACGTTCGACCCTACATTGTTAGTTAATTCTGAACCCCTCATTCATTTCTGGACAGGAATTAACTGTTGAAAACGTACCAAGGGTACACACTCCAAACTCTTCCATTCACAAGCTCAGCAACACACAATGCGCCATTCCCCCTTTGAGCAATAATGCCTTTAAACTTACCCTTTGGTTTCATATCCATATCCACTCTAAGCCCCAAAACTCTGGCTATTTCATATTCACTATCATCATTTACTTCTCGCACGGGTAGTAGTGGCAGACTTGACAGAAGATTGTTGGTGCCACCACTGTGCGGCACTAGAAGCTTGGATGAGAACCTTCATCAGCGCAGGCTTCCTAAATTGAGGGACAATAGCGCTAATCAAGAAGGTGGCGATGATAATAAGAACCCAAGATGGCTATATTGTGATGTGAAAGTGGTGTCTTGGAGGGAACGCAGAGTCAAAGCTGAGATTTTGGTCAATGCAGATGTTGATTCTACCTGGGATGCTCTCACCGACTACGAACGCCTTGCAGATTTCATTCCCAATCTCGTTAGCAGGTACACAACGCCTATGCACTATCTCATGAATGTATTTTACTATTCATTACTCCTCTCAAAATTAAGTCTCACTTTGACTTTCAACCATTAATATCTACAACCATATACATATCTAGTTTTTAAATAATCAACTGATAAAAATGATAACACTTTACTTAAAAAGTCAAAATTTGCGTAGTTGTGAGACAAGAGGGTTTATCACCACTCCAACTTTTTAATTCCCTATCTTCAAAATACTGTCCTCCATTTGATACGATATGTCGATACCCACTGAATGAAACTTTTGTTTACTTCCCCCTATGAAGTTTGGAAGTGGTTTGGTTATTTCTGCCCCTCCATACACTAAGGTCATGCTACTAAGGTTATGCTTGGATCCTTGGAAATGCTCAGAAAATGAAAGTAATTGTAAAGGAAAGTCTTTTTCTCTTGTTTCATTTACTTTGAACAATGCAAAGGAAGATCAGATATGATCATTGTTGTTGTATTAAATATAGATATATT